TTCTAATTAGTTTGTATTTGTGTTCCAGTTAGTACAGTAGATGCCATATAGTAAGTCCTTAATAATTGCTTATTGACTGCTTATTTCTCTGTAACCTGCTAAACTCAACTAAAAATTTCTTCTGGTGACTCATCTGTAGTGTGTAGGTATCTCTGAGTTCTTGAAGGCTATGGCAAAATATAGAAAGTTATATGCAAAGGCTTGGCTTACGTACTTGGAAACATTCATTCATTCAACAAAGATTTCTTAAGTGTATATTATGTTCCAGGAACTACATTAGGCACTAAGCATACAGAAACAAAAAGAAGAAAATTTCCACTTCAAAGAGCTTATATAATACCAGAGGAAATCAGCATGCACACAGGTAACAAAGTGAAAATAGATTAATAAGTAAATACAAAGTGATGTATTGGTGGACAACAATAATCCCTAGGGCCTTTAGGAAAGGTCTCATGTGGGAAGTGGCATTTGAGTTCTAGCTTCAGGGAAGCCAGGATTTCTAAGAGGCCCAAGTGAGAAGACAGTGTGCTGCCGGCATAGGGAAAGTCTATGCAAAGGCATGAAGGCAGGAAATTATCTTGTCCAGGGAACCAGCAAGTAGTCCAGTTTGGCTGGAGTATTGCATAATAAGCCTGAAAAAGTGGCCTGCAGCCAATTTTTTAAGAGTTTTAAATGCCGAATAAAAGCATTTTTATTTTATGCTAAGGGTAGTAAGGAGTCACAGAATTTTCTTGAGCAAAGGAGTGACATCTTCAAACCTGAGTTAATCAAAAATCAATTTTGGAGCTGTGTGAATGGACTGGAGAGTGAAATGACTGGTCACAGTGACTATATGTCTGCTGTCTAAAGGTCAGCCTAGCTAACTATGGAGACTCTCATCAGTAATTTGGTCACAGGGTAAGGAAGTCTTTCTGTCCCAGAGACCCTGAATTTTGCTATTAAATTAAAGCTCTGTAATGTCCAAGTTAGAAAGATCTAGTGATGGCCTGTCTTCCATGTAATGTCACAGGCTAGCTTTGGAGAAGCATATCACCAGAAAACTGGCTATAAGAAATGAAGATTTTTAGCCACAGCAATTCAAAAAGGTTGTCCACCAAGGCATAGAGTGGCTTTAATCTGTCAGCGAAAGAAATACACATGAATAAAATAACCAATTCTTGAAAAAAGGTAGGTCACCTACTGTGTTATTCTTCAAAACAATAAATTCATAATAAGCAAATATTTTTGAAGATAGTTTAAGTGGTTAGCAAGCAAAATAGCCACCTTCCTCCCTCTTGTGATTTTACATCTATAAGCTATAAGGATCAAGGTGTACAACTCTAATAAAAAATTGATGTTATGTCTACTCAAACATGAAAAAAGTCAATTTGGCTTAACATTCATCATTTTAATAGTTAATTCATATTTCATAATGATCACTGAGGTCTGTGACAATTGCAAAAAGAGTAGACTAGTCATGGAGAACCTGTCAAATAGTCTTGGTGTGCCAGTGGTCATTTTATCAGCCATATAGATATACAATCACAGAAAATGTCTCATGCTTTTACTTTATTGGAGAGATTTTTGTTTACTACTGATAGAAAACCAAAAAACAATTTTCCAGTTCATAGAATTTAGGTTTTTTAGTTGTTATTTAATGGTATCATTTGTTTTTTCTATGAAGTAAATTATAATCACTAAATATCAGATGGTACAAAACCTTAGCAATTACTATTCTCATAGTTCACCTATTAAAAACTAGAACAGTTGAAATCTGATCCTGATTCAGTAACTAAGCTCATTAATATGAAAATTCAGGAATATACATGCAAGCTGTGTTTCAACATTGGTTTCTAATTCTGATCAAAGACTCTCATCAACAGTGAACAAATAGCAGACTGATACTTTACCACTCCCATCTCCTTATCAATATAAATGTCAGGCTACTAAGCTTTCCAAAAACCTATGTTTTCAATTGTTCATTATTATAAAGGCAAAGAGACAGATCACATGAAGATGAAAATTATGTAATTAGCAGCACAAAGGAGACCATTAACTGATATATTTCATATTAGGATTACTCTCCTTAGTCTAAATGTTTAGGGATGCCATGACAATATGTCCACATATCAAAATGAAAACACAATATATTTATATTGTTGTTATCTTAAAATATACTATAAATTCTAGATATTGTTGTTATCTTAAAATGTACTATAAATTCTAGATGATCCATATGTTAGTTGTTGCTTGAATTTTCATCTGGATATTCAAGGGTCAAAGGAAGGCCACCTGTTGCACTAATTCTTGCCAAAAGCTTTTGTATCCATGTGATTTATTTACGCTAAGACTAGAGAGCTAGCTAATCACAAAATGAATGAAACATTTTCAATCATAATCATTTGCACAGAAAATTCCACCTCCTAATAACAAATATTCATCACCCCCTAACATAAAATACCTATTTATTTGGCATTAGTGACAATATTCTTGAAGTTGATTTTCTTATCATTTTCTGCTCCCAAAATGTTTGTGGACTTTATATGCTTATGTGTGTGCATATCTTTGAATATGTGTATGATGTATCTGTGCTGCATACTATACTGAAAATTTAAAAAATGATTATTTGAACTCACATCGAAAAATGCTAAGCTCAGATGGCATTGATAACTATTATATAATTCATTTGCTGTTTCTCCACCCTCTGCCACATTCAAGGGTCAAAGTCAAATAGGACTTTACAAATTATTAATGAGGCTTTTCCTTATTCCTTTGATGTTATCTTCCCTCCCCCTCCTCCTCTTATATCCTCCTTTGGTGCTCAGTCCTTTCCTTATATAGCAGTTTCCTGTAGAGGGACATGTAGAGACACCTAGTGGTGACAAGTAAGGATGACTTCTTATTTAATACTTCAGAAGTAGGCTACTGACTAGAAAGTTATCAGCATATATTCAGATGACAAATAAAAGACAACCTGGAATTTGACTTAACTACTATTTCTCACTAAATACTCAGAAAACATATTTAAATTCATTTCCATTCCATATTATACTATACATTCTATATTATAATTTCATCTGAATGATTATTCTCTCCACCCACACAAATTACAATTTCCTTATGTTAGTAACCAGTTATATGAATTACTGCCCCCCTCAAACAACAATGACAACAACAACCATTGCCTTGTGGCCAACCTTATGATAATGAGAAATCACATTTTTAATTGAATCATATTTTTAAAGATCATCAATTTTCAAAGGGAAGCAAATATTTTATCATAAATGCAATTATGCTGGTTTAATAACATGATTTGTAACTAAGTGGCATAATTATGTTTTATGTATCTTGAAAATTTCTGTATAATTGAATAAACTACTTTATCAGACTAGGAAACTTGATCATCCTCAGCAGAGACCATTTTAGTTTATGTACCAATATCAATGATCATATTTTTATAAAATTTCCAAATACATGTTAAAATTATTTGTCATGACAATTAATCAGGTTTAATAAAATAGTCCAATAATATTTATTTTATTTTTAAAGTACTTGATTACTTTTAAATCTGCTGAACAATTTTGATGATCAGATATTGAAAAAGTGTGATACTTTTTAATTTAAGACAGGAATGTTTACATAAATATTTAGTGTAAACCAGAAATGTGTATCCTGGACCCAATGTTTACAGGGAAAAGGGAAAGTTCCTAGTTAATTTAACTAGAACTTATATTGATATGGCATTCTTCTCTTAACTGTCATACCTAATGATTACCAATTTGTTGCTATCTTTTTTATTTTTTTTTACTCCTTGTCTTTTTTATCCAGGGGTTTTATTTCCTACAGTAAATTTCAGTGCAGGTGAAATGCCAGTGGATAGATAAAACAAAAGCCTCCATAGAGAAAATTCTAATCAACAGTGTGACATTTCAGCATAAAGAGATAAATGTGCCCACCTACTCCCATACATAGTGTGCTCAGATATATGACAATATGAAATTAATATGACTTGATTTTCCATGGTTTTTTTCATTTTTCATGGTATCAGGCATGATCCAAAGTTGGCATTAGGTAAGATCACACTATCATAATATAACAAGTATAAATAGATTTTTTCCCCAGACTAAACCATCCAACTATTAACCATACAGGAAAATATGCGACCAGTATGTTCTAAATCAGGGTTACCATTTATCATAATCAATTTATAATCTATACTTGTTAGACACAATCACAACACACACTAAACTGTTATGTCCAAGCTATACCATACTAATTTAACTGCCCTTCAACGAGATAGGTTTGGGAAGGGGTGAGGGAGGTAAGGGTCTCATTTCATGAAACTTTCATTTATTCAAAACTACTTACCGAGTAGCTGAGAGCAATGGTATTTAGCAGGTAAGTCTTCGGAGAAATTCCCTCTCCACACATTCATTTATGGGCTTTTCGTTTTGTTTTGTTTTAGGGTGGTTTTTTGTTTGTTTGTTTGTTTGTTGTTTTTTCTTTAATCTCCATGTGGGTATACACACGCATATGTCTGGAAATCATTCAAAATGGCAAAATTATTTTATGTTACCCAGGAAAAAAAATCAAGCCTACAATTTATTTTTCTCCTAAGTTATTCTTGTCAGCTAGAAAGAACTCTATATACCCTCTTCCTCCCCCCACCTTTTTTTTTAAATTTTATTTTACACTGTTCAGGACGTGAGCTACCATTCTCAATAAAAGGAAGAAAGGCAATCAACACAACACTCTATTGCCTGTTCCCGAATATCACCAACTCTTACATTGTAGGCATTATTTCCACTCCTCCCTCCTTTAGGTAGTCTGTACCGTCGCACGCTTGTGTTATGCACATTTTCTCCAAGGCTCATCACCTCCGCACAAATATGATACCCAAGGAAGCTTTGGCTTCACACTTTGCAGTGCAGCCTAAGGAGATCTGTCGCCCTATACTCCCATCTATTGGTCACCGAGCGCCATTGCTCTGTCCCCGCTCCAGCATGTCTGCAGCAGCCTGGCTAGAGCTGCGCTCCATAATAAACAACTGTACTAGACATTAGACGGGGCCCCATGCTGGCTCCTGGTGAAAAGGCTTAGAGAGATCGGAATCGCTTACGCTGCAGCCTCCTCCTTTGCGACGTGGTAAGAGAACACGACTTTCTCAGACTTTTGTGTAGCGATGGGCACACAACATTGTTTTGCTTGTCCTCGAGCACCCAAAGGACGTCGGATAGAGAAAGAAAGCTCCAATAAAAGAGGAAAATAAGATGAATCTAACGAGTGAATCTTGAAAGGCGCTTTTTTCCCCCTGCACAACTCCTTCCCGGGATGAAACGAAAAAGCAGCAGACGCCCGAGTCACCCAAATACTGATTGGGAAAAGAGGCTGCAACAACCCGAGAGGCAGAGGGTGCAGCGGGTGCAGAGGGAACAGCAGCGGAGGCAAGGGTAGCACCGGTGGTAGCGGCAGCCGCCACCACCACAGCTGGACCCTGGAGCTTGGAGTCGTCAGCTGTGGCATCTGGGGAGGAGAAAGCAGCAGCATCAACAGCAGCAGCAGCAGGAGAAGGAGAAGGAGGATTTGCTGCCTCCAGTGCCGCCGCCGCCACCGAAGGGGACCAGTGCCATCCTCTCCCTTTCCCCCTCACTACCATGTACAGTGTGCGCTGCAAGAAGAAGCGGAGAACCATGCAAGGACACCGTTACTTTTCTCTCCCTCTGGCTAGTCCCTGGGCGAGTGTGACTGACCAGGGGAAAATGGTGTGAAGAAGAAAAGAGGAGGAACGGGGAGGGGGAGGGGAGGAAGAGAAGGAAACGAGGTCGGAGTCTGTATTTTTCCCCCTTTTGGCAAAGAAACCAGAGGAGGAGGCTTGAACGTGTAGCTGCTGCGGTTAGGGAGAAAGTTGATGCCTATTTCAATGGAAAGTGTGAGTACCAGCAGGGGATGCTTGTAAGGAACGCAGAGAACTGGAGCTGTCCGTTATTAAGGAGGCTGTTGTGTAGAGGGTTTTTTTGAGTGTGTGTGTGTGTGTGTGTGTGTGTGAAGTGCTTGGTGAAGCTGACCGTCACGTTGTCAGCGAAAGGCTGTCTGTGCAGCCCTCTCTCCTCCCTTCGCCCCCCTCCCACGCTCTCTCCTTGCCTTGCCCCTCCCTCACGGTTTCTCTCCGGCTCGCCCTCCCCCCCCATTCTCTCCAGTCTCTTTCGATCGCCCCTCGCTCTCCCTCTCCCTTTCCCCCTTTCCCCCTCCCCCCTCTTCTCTCTGGTACTGGGGAGAGCGCCGAGAAGAGCAGCTCTGGGAACCCCTTGGACCTCCGCCTCCGTCTATGTGTGTGTGTGTGGCGGTGGCAGTAGAGGTGGCGGCGGCGGCGGCGGCAGCGGTGGTGGCGGTGGCAGTGGCGGTGGCTGTAGTGGTGGTGGCGGCTACCGTGGAGGCTCCTTGTGTGTGGTGGTGTTTGTGTGCATTTCTTATCCAACCTCCCCAACTGCATTGCTTGCCTCCTCTGGTCTTTGCTTCGGCTGCACGCAAGCAGCACACACCCCAAATAGACATTTTTAAGGGTGGCTACGATGATTGGGCCCTGGAGATATAAAAATGAGTAAGTATAAGGTTTGCTTTTTTTTAAGGCTGCTTTTTTTGGGGGGAAGTATCTCCCCCCTCCTTTCCCATCCCCCTTTCCTCCTTTCTTTTCTTTGGGGCGGGGGTGGGGGGAGGGGTGAGAGTAAGGGAGGAATCTCTCTCCCTGTAACTCTGGGTGCTGTTGCCCCGGCTGCTGCTGCTGCTGCTGCTGCTCCTGTTCAGTTGGACAGCAGTGTCCGGCCAGGGTTTCCGCTGCTGCTGTCGGTGGGACTGAAAGCTCTTTAGTGCAAGATATGCAGTGCGGTAATCCAGGGTCTGAACTCTTTGGGGGAAAACCAAATACGGCACCTCCCTCCTCCTCCACCCCCAATTAAAAAGAACAATGTGAATCTCTCAGATCAGAAAAATAGCAGAGCACAGGGGCATTTAAACCCAAGCTGCGTCCCCGGGCCAGAATTTCAACCTTCATCAAATTCAACTTTTATATTCTTTATTTTTTCTATCTCCTTAGGAGGAAGGTGGTCGTGATGAGGTTGGGAAAGCTCCTAGATCCTTATTAGTCATTATTAAATTAAAGTTGCAAATGACTGAGAGTTTAATACTGGTCGGGCATATTTTACAATGATCTTTTTTTTTTCTAAGGGGGGGAGGAGAGGGAGTGGAAAGGGTTGGGGAGGGCAAAGAGATGGTGAGGGGGAGGGGAACAAACACCCGCTGAATGGATGAATGGATTTGATGGAGCGGAGAAAAGAAATTTCAAGGTAAATGTTTTGCTTTTATGGAGGATGTCTGTGCTGCCTTTAGCAGTGAAGCTGTTTGCCTTTTGTGATTCGGAGCTAGTGAATACTTGAAATGTTCAATATCATAATATCAATATTCAGACCTCTGCCTTAATACACATAAATGTGTATGTATGTATCTTTGCACATTTATGTACAATTTCAAGAGTTCTTTCTAACGCGTACAAAGTGTTAGGTATACAGCTTTGGAACCGTGTCACAGAAATCCCTTTGCAATAATGAGATTTGGTTTCGGGGTACTATTTTGGACATGAGACTTCAGTTACAAGTATTAAGGCTACGGCAGGGTTGACCAGAGAAAACCAGCCTTTTTTCAGGAACATAATGTTTAGGGTGGGGAGAATGAAAAAAAAGGGTTATTTCTCTTCCCCCACCAACCCAACCAGTGCAAGAATACATAGACATTCCTCTCCCCATGTTCTTTCTCTCCTCCCCCCCTCCCCAGTGTTTTTGACATCCACAAGTAGAAAGTAGGAGGAAGCGTCAAGGAGACAGAAGGGGGGGGTGGGAGAAGGAAATCGGATTTGTTTCTGGCTAAATGAAAATTCGAGCATTAAGTCACTGACGTAGGTCACTGGGTAGTTTTCTTCTTTTTCTTCTTTCTAGTTTGGCTTTTAATCTGCTCAGGTGTCTTCTCCCTTGAAGGATGAAGATCACTGACAGCTATCGGTGCTTTATAATAAGCAACTCCAATTCGCGGAATGTTGGTAAGGAGGTATTTCCATGAGATCCATTTAGATCTCTCCCCTGCTATCAAGCTAATTTTTAATAAACATTGAAAGTAAATGCTGTCAGATAGGGCTGAGGCTTTGGTGACAATCCTAGCGATTTTCCTGTTTGGGCAGATTCTAGATGAGTGATTAGAATGTTCCCTTTAACTCTAAGCATCTATAGGTGTTTAAGAATTGCGGAAGTCTTTTCTTAGTCCTTCACAGTCATACCATCGTTTGCAACTATTTCTGTAGCTTTAAGCCTCAATTTGGTAACATTGCTATCATGATCAAAGATGGAAAGTGAACAATAAGCACTCCGGGGGAGGTACTGTTAAGTGCAATTAGAAGGCTGATGTGCTTAATAGCTTTATTGGAAAAGTCTATCATAGAGAAGAATCCCTCTGTGTGTATGTGTATCTATATATACATATATATATATATATATACATATATATATGTATATATAGATACACATACACACATATATACATATACATACACATGCACACACATATCCCTTACAGACTTGAAGCTCTATAAGACATTATAGGTGATTTAAGAGCTGATCAGGGATTATTTTGCTGCATTAACTTACTTTTTCTTTTCCCTTTGGTCTTTTGAAAAGTATCCTTTGGATTCCCACACAGACATTTCCAGCAACTGTCTAAAATAACTAAAGTAGTATACGTAGCACTTTTGCTTCTCTGGGGAGAAAAAAAAAAAGACGTGAGGTAAAGACCTTAACGTGCGCTGTTCACCGAAGAGGTTCTGAAAAAGAAAGAGGGCTCGGTAATAGGTGAGGTGGGAAACCTCATAAAATGGTGCTCTTTTTCTCTTAAATTAGAACCTTGAAACTGAACTGACAGCCATCTTATATATATTTATGGGTTGATCTTGGGGGATTGGGGAGAGGGAGGAGGGAGGACAAAATCCTGAAATGGGACAGTATCTAATATGACTCTATATTTGTAAAGATATCTTTAACTCACCCCGAGTTGCAAAGCAGCCCTTTAATCATTGACAGTCAGTTTTGAAATTTAGATGAGCTTCTATATCTTCCTAGTCTTAACAATAAATAAAGACCAAAAAAAAAAAGACCTCATACAAACAACCTTCTTTTCCCAGAGTGTAGAGGGGGGAAAAAAACTTAAAAAAACTAACACTGCTGTTTAAATTTTTTGGTCATATTCTGTTATTTTCTTTTGCTTTCTTACAGGAGGTAAAATGTACCCTTGTTGCTCCACATTAACTTTGGAACAGGATCTCAACAGAAAAATGCATATCTGGATGCTGCAGACTATAGCGTTTGCTGTAACATCTCTCGTCTTTTCGTGTGCAGAAACCATCGATTATTATGGGGAAATTTGTGACAATGCATGTCCTTGTGAGGAGAAGGACGGAATCTTAACAGTGAGCTGTGAAAACAGGGGGATCATCAGCCTCACAGAAATCAGCCCTCCACGGTTTCCAGTCTACCACCTCTTGTTGTCTGGCAATCTTTTGAACCGTCTCTACCCCAATGAGTTTGTCAATTACACTGGGGCTTCAATTTTACATCTAGGGAGCAATGTCATCCAGGACATCGAGACAGGGGCATTTCATGGGCTTCGAGGTTTAAGGCGATTGCATCTGAATAATAATAAACTGGAACTACTAAGGGATGACACTTTCCTCGGATTGGAGAGTTTGGAGTATCTACAAGTCGATTACAATTACATCAGTGCCATTGAACCTAATGCTTTTGGCAAACTGCACTTGCTGCAGGTGCTGATCCTCAATGACAACCTCTTGTCCAGTTTACCCAACAACCTTTTCCGTTTAGTGCCCTTAACGCATCTAGACCTTAGGGGCAACCGGCTGAAACTTCTGCCCTACATAGGGCTGTTGCAGCACATGGATAAAGTTGTGGAATTACAGCTAGAAGAAAACCCCTGGAATTGCTCTTGTGAGTTGATCTCACTTAAGGATTGGTTGGACAGCATTTCCTACTCTGCCTTGGTAGGGGATGTGGTTTGTGAAACGCCTTTCCGGTTACATGGGCGGGACTTGGATGAAGTGTCCAAGCAGGAGCTTTGCCCAAGGAAACTCATCTCGGACTATGAAATGAGGCCCCAGACGCCCTTGAGCACTACGGGGTATTTACATACGACCCCAGCCTCCGTCAATTCCGTGGCCACTTCTTCCTCTGCTGTTTACAAGCCTCCTCTGAAGCCCCCTAAAGGGACCCGCCAACCCAACAAACCCAGGGTGCGCCCCACCTCCCGCCAGCCCTCTAAGGACTTGGCCTACAGCAACTATGGCCCCAGCATCGCCTACCAGACTAAATCGCCGGTGCCTTTGGAGTGTCCTACTGCGTGCTCTTGCAATCTGCAGATTTCTGACTTGGGTCTCAATGTCAACTGCCAGGAGAGGAAGATAGAAAGCATCTCAGAGCTTCAGCCCAAGCCCTACAACCCTAAGAAGATGTACTTGACAGAGAACTACATCACAGTTGTGCGTAGGACGGATTTTCTGGAGGCTACAGGGCTAGACCTGCTGCACCTTGGAAACAATCGCATCTCGGTGATCCAGGACCGTGCTTTTGGGGATCTAACCAATCTGAGACGACTCTATCTTAATGGCAACCAGATTGAACGCCTGAGCCCAGAGCTGTTCTATGGCCTACAGAGCTTGCAGTATCTTTTCCTCCAATACAATATTATCCGGGAGATCCAGGCTGGGACCTTTGACACAGTCCCTAACCTACAGCTCTTGTTTTTAAACAACAACCTCTTACAGGCCCTGCCCGGGGGCATTTTTTCTGGTCTCACGCTGCTCAGGCTAAATCTAAGGAGCAATTACTTTTCTTCGCTGCCTGTGAGTGGAGTGTTAGATCAGCTGAAATCTCTTATTCAGATCGACTTGAATGACAACCCTTGGGATTGCACTTGTGACGTGGTGGGCATGAAGTTGTGGGTGGAACAGCTTAAAGTGGGGGTACTTGTGGATGAGGTCATTTGCAAGGCCCCCAAAAAGTTCGAGGAGACCGATATGAGGTCTATTAAGTCGGAGCTTTTGTGCCCAGACTATTCTGACGTAGTGGTTTCTACACCTACTCCCTCCTCCATACAGATCCCACCACGAACCACCTCTTTGCCCTCCACAGTCAGATTGAACAGCACGGACGCCACTGCGGGGGGTGGCTCTGGCAACAGCGCCTCTTCGGTCCCCTTGTCTGTGCTGATCCTCAGCTTGCTTCTTGTCTTCATCATGTCAGTTTTTGTGGCCGCTGGGCTCTTTGTGCTGGTGATGAAAAGGAGAAAGAAGAACCAGAGCGACCACACTAGCACCAACAACTCAGACGTGAGCTCTTTCAACATGCAGTACAGTGTGTACAGCAGCAGCGGGGGCAGCAGCCACCACCATTCGCATACTCACCACAGGGGTCCAACCCTCCCTAAAGTGAAAACCCCTGCGGGCCACGTATATGAATACATCCCCCACCCCCTGGGCCATATGTGCAAAAACCCCATCTACCGTTCCAGGGAGGGCAATTCGGTGGAGGATTACAAAGATCTGCACGAGCTCAAGGTAACCTATAGCAGTAATCACCATCTGCAGCCTCAGCAGCAGCAGCAGCCACAGCAGCCTCAGCAGCAGCAGCCACAGCAGCAGCAGCAGCAGCAGCCGCCACAGCAGCAGCTGCAGCTACAGCAGGGAGAAGAGGAGAGGCGGGAAAGCCACCACCTGCGGAGCCCCGCCTACAGTGTCAGCACCATTGAACCGAGGGAGGAGCTGCTGTCACCAATGCAAGACGCTGATCGCTTTTACAGAGGCATTTTAGAACCCGATAAACATTGCTCGGCCACCACGGCTGGCAGTAGCCTCCCGGAATATCCCAAATTCCCTTGCAGCCCTGCTGCCTATACCTTTTCCCCCAACTATGACCTTAGGCGCCCCCACCAGTACTTGCACCCGGGGGCAGGGGACAGCAGGCTCCGGGAAACGGTGCTCTATAGTCCCCCCAGTACTGTCTATGTAGAACCCAACAGGAATGAGTATCTGGAATTAAAAGCAAAACTAAACGTTGAGCCGGACTACCTCGAAGTGCTGGAAAAACAGACCACATTTAGCCAGTTCTAAAGGCAAAAAAACTCCCCATAGAGCATTTGTATTTAAAACAAACACACGAACAAGCAAACATATGATGAACCAGTTTGATTGTGTTGTTTCAACGTTTAAGGTGAAGTGCCTTGGCACAGGATTTTCAGCTACGGCGAATGATACTGAAAGGGTGTGCAAATTCATTTTATTTTTACAATTAGGAAATGTTTCTGTAAGCTGGGCACAACTCTTGCTCTTGTGTCAGTGGAGGGAAAGGAGCTGTATGGAGGGCCATTTTTACGGGTGACTTTTAAAGGTCAATGAAGTTTTTTGATAATGGGAAATACTTCTGTTTTTCAAAGACCGAAGGGCACAGGTTCCGTCCTTCCTCCTCTGATACTTCATTCCCTTCCCCCCTTTAAGCCATTGGGTGGGTATAAATGGCTTTTCTGGAAAGAGATTAGCACACCCCGACTTTAATACAACATTTCTTTTCTTTTCTTTTTAAAGGATGTGTTTGTATGCTTTCCGGACATTTGAATTAAAAAAAAAAGTATTATGACCTTGAAAAGGATCAGTATAGATGTGGAAAAACCATTAAAAAGTGCAGCGCTATATGATCCATAACTGGTTAGTCAAAATAACTTATTGATGAAATATAAAAAATATTTTATTGTAGCACCTATTTTTATATGCACATTCGCATTTCACTTTCCTTCATTATTTTAGTCTATGATTTGTTTGGAGCTTCATTTCCAAAGCTGAAGTGGTATCAGGAGGGCACTCTAATTCTAAAATTTTCAGTAGATGTGACTAAATCTTAGAAGACAATCCAATCCACACAATTGGGTCTGCATAAAAATAAAAATAATAACTGTTACTTTTCCCAACAAGTTAAAGCATTTCCTATTAGGGAAGTTTGGACTAACTAGTAAGGAATATATGGAAATTGTAGTTTTCAAGTGAGAGAGAAAAAAGGGCCTCTCTTTTCATTTAACCAAACAAAATATAATTTGACTACTATTGTAGCCAATTCCTGATTGTTTAGGCAAATAAATTGCACTTGTACAGATCCATTTCTAGACTGGCACCTTTGAACACCAAATGATGGACTGCGCAAATTTATATATCTTTACCCCTTTGGGCAGCAGGCAATGATAATTGATTACCATAAAGACAGGATCAATGTAAGATGGGGCTACTGATGTCTTGTATGTGTCTCAGCACATGAAATTTTTAATAGTTTATGACTACATACTTGATAACTATTTGAAATGTGAGGATGTGAAGTAATAATTACCTGAAGTTCAAAATATCTGACTCCTAGGTCAATGATTCTCCAATTTTAATCAAGATGGAAGAGATAGGAGCTAATCCACTAAGCCTAATTTAAACAATTCTTTGCATACTTATGGAGATTTAATATACTATAATGATCAGTTTTGTGCTTGAGGGAGCTAGAAATTTCTAAATGTGTCACTAATATGCTTATTAGTGAAATTTCAAGTTTATATTTTGTTTCCATTCTAAAGTGTTCATTTAATACATGGAACAGGGTAAGTAATGTTGCTTCACACAAGTTTTATCAAAGAATTATATAGGCTATTATGATTGGTTTTTCTTATTAGCTTGCCATTGTGTCCATATTTCAAATTATATAAATTTATATTCAAAGGTTATAATGAGTTTTATGACTGAGTTTGAACTTTCCTCTCAAATGTTCAAAATACAGGTGATTAGATATATGCCATCTATTCACCTTGGGACAAGGTTTGGCCAGTACATTGGTCTTTGTCTTACAGGTCTTAACCTGCTTGTTTGAAGTAATTTGGATTGTAAAGGTCTGTAGATTCCATTCCGCTTTTGGTGGCTCTCTCAGTAACCAATAACCTTAAATGGAATGTGTCAGAAGATCAAGGGTAGTCCATGAACCTGAAATGTGCAAGAAACACTTTACATGGCATCCTGCCACAAAGAGGCAGCATCCACCAGTGAGTAAATTGACAGCAACTGATTGAATTTAGAATAAATGGGTAGTCATATCTTCCCTGAGGAAAAATAAAAACAAAACAAATGAACAACTCCCTAGGCTCCCAAATCAAAAATAAAAACCTCATACTACCTCTTTTAATATCAGTATGCCCCTATATTTCTTTCTCTTATTTTTAAAGCATTTTCCTTTGTATTAACTTTTTTGTTTGTTTGTTTCACAAGGGGGAGGTGTAGGATTTGTGCTAAGATCATGAAAAAAAAAATTCTTCCTCCTCATCTGTCTACTCAGTATTTAATTCATTATTAGGAAAGAACAATGAACAATATTATTTGGTATCATAATGGAAATGTGTGTAGTCTTTCTTTTCCTTTTAAATAAAAGGTACAAATCAAAATCCCTTACTCTTTCATTATCCTGAAATACTGTAAAGTTTTATGAAAGATAGAATGGAACTAGAAAAGGAGATTCTCAACAAAACTAAGCTTTGTTTAAAAGCATACATTTGTATATTTATATGTATACATACATATGAACATATGTATGTATATATACATATATGTGTGTATATACACATGCATACACAGAGATAAGAATGACAAGAAAGATGTGATAGTAGTGGATAAAAAATAAAAGAACTTCCAAAGAATGTTATGTAAATTTAATCTTCCTATATTTTTTTAATGTTGTGATATTGATTAGAGTCTATTTTGGTCAAATCCGACTATTTAGCATTTCTCTCTTGATTTTCTATTTAAAATAACTGTTTCTGCCCCTGCCCATACCTAACAAAACATTTTTCTAAGGTTTCCAAAATGTTTTATCATGAAATTATCCGGTATATTAATGATGAAAGAGCACCTATCTCTATATCTTATAATTCTGTCTCCATATACATATATATAATATATGCATATATATATGTATATATAGTATATGTATATGTGTATATATATACATATACACACACACACAAATGTGTGTATATACACACACACACATACACATATGTACTTCAATGCCAAGAAGGAAAGTAAGGGCAGGTCAGAACTATATGGTTGAAAAAAATAACAGCAGTAAAGAACTAGGAAGTGGCTATCAATACAATATAGAATACATGAAAGAATAACTTTTTGTTGATTTTTTTTCATTTTATAATGTAAAAACTGCAGAACATATACAATATCATATATACTACCTTTGGGTCAATCACTCAAAAACCATTTATTAAGAGTAGTCCCTGAGAAGGTTTGATTTTTGATACTCCATATTAATATTTATTGATGTTCAAGAATGAATCAAGAATTTATATCCCCAGACTTTTAAAATATAATAGCATGTTGTTTTGTACATCAGTTAAGATGTGGGTGCAAGAGAATATTTTACTTTCTACTGCTTTAATTTCCTATATTTCCCTCTGAAACAGAGACTCAGATACATGATTCAATAAAGAGCGCATTCTCTATTTTATCTTATCATTATTATAATGCAGATACGTAAATTAACCAAGAGAAAGGAATGATGTTCGGCTTCAACTTTAAGTGGGTTACATGCTAATTTACAGAAGCCTTTTGGAGCTAATAAACTATTGACTAAGGTTATGAATTAAACAGGATTCATGTAAAAATAGTACCCATTTGTCCGTGTCTAAAAATACATTTGCATTTATTCTCTTCAGGTTTAAGCTCTGATATTAGAATCAGGTCTTTTCATTCAGGCCAGATACATACCACATGAAAAATTGAGGCAATTAAGCAGATAACTCAGTTCCTGTAGCTCTTTCTAACATTTGGCCCTCCCCCACACTCCTACCCTCCAAAATAAGAAAAAGAAATTAATTACACGATGAAGTATAGGCAAAAATGAGTCAGATTAGCTTTAATTATACATTTAACTGCACTAACACTTCAGATTTGTTTTTTTCCTCCTAACATACAGGCCACAGTATCACATTTTTGTATTAAATAATGCTAAGATTTCTTTTCTCGGGGATCAATGGGAGACGAAGAGCAAAATGACTGCTGTTTCTCTGAAATGTCAAAAGCTGGTCGCTTCTTTGATAGAGTTTAATGGGTGATCTCAAATTGGTATGCAACTGCAAGATAATGTGAATAGAGAAAATAAGTTCTCAATTTACATGTTTCATTTAATATTTTACATTTTTCAGATGACCCTGAACTAACACACTGCAGAAATTCTACATGTAAACATTTTAAAGTAATGAAGTATTTTTAAATGTAGAATTAAATAACCCTAAACAGGCACAAAATACCAGAAACCAGACATTTCTAATTAACTTATTTTCAAAGGGAAAAATCATCATGTAGCAAATATATCATTATGAAGTTACTTGATTATTTTCTTCCAAAAAGTGTTGTATTTGATAAAACATCCATCAATGCCCCCCCGCAATCAGGTACCCAGTTGATTAAAGCTTGGCTATGTATGTTAAGGCTTCTTTTGCTGTTTTTATACTGCTATAACCCTGCAAATTAATGATTTTTTTCACTATTTCTCAAATTTTAATAGGTATTTATGGCTTTACTTGCATATATGTATACGTGTACATATATGTGTTAGAAAAATTCAATACAACTCCAGTTTCAAAGTTATATTTTTTCCCTCTTGACTAATAATTACTTGATGTCATTCATTCATGGACCACTCTTCAGTAATGTAAGATGAAGGGAAGAAGAGAGAAGAGAATAGAATATTTTTTGCTTGGGTATGAAACATAATATAACCATTTCTTCCCCACTCTTGTTTTTGTCATTCTATTTATGTCATGAAAGACAGGAATATAATTTTGTATTGGGAATGTCAGCATTTTGAGGTCGATCATTTTTGTATTAATTTGGGGGGATGGAGAAAGATTTTGCACCTATTGCCTGTTTCATCTGAATGTCAGAGCATTCAATATCAATTAATACAAAGATTGAATTAAATCATTTGTGGTCAAAACAGACTTTCAAGATTCCATAGCATTTTTATTTTGCAGTTACAAAAGGAATAACTGATATTTCATGAAGTCTCAATCAAAGTGAAAATAGGAAACTCAGTATTGGGTTTATTAGACATCTTCCTACTAGATAGTATTTAAATCTATACTTGTGAATCATTTCCTGAGTTATGAAGAATGGAAATTTACTTCTACTCTTTTAATGAAATTTCCAGGAACCTTTATCAATGAGCATGAAAAAGTTTATTTCTTTATCCCCACAAAAGCATAACTTAAAAAATAATTAAAAGCTTGTTTAACAGTTGAAGTCATAAAATGATACATTCAAAGGCCTTTTAATTTCATGTATTTATCTAAAGATTCATGGATTAGTTGTTGTGCTAAGAAAATATTTATTTGTAAGTATTTTTTTTTGAAGCAAAATATTTGCATTCAAAATACCATGGTTTGTATCAGTTTGAATTGAAGTGTAATACTTGCAGAAGCGTTTAAGTGAGATGTGCATATTTATTTAAAAAAAACAGCATGCAAAAGTCATGTTTCTTACACCATGTTCAATGTATTATGCACATGTCAGATTTTAAGTAAATCATAAAAAAAATTTTGTTCATAGAGACATCTCTGTACTATAACTTGAATAGCTCCTTAAGTAAGGTTGATTGTGTTTCTATAATAAATTTCACTTGAACTATCAAAAGGAAAAGTCATATATATATACATATATATACACACACATATATGTATGTATGTATATATGTATTTCCAGATTGTCAGTAGTTGTACACTTGAGAGACTGCATTTTTTCATAAGAAGGGAGATGACAGGAATTATCTTTTAGTCAATGAAAATACTTTTATAAATCTATATGCTAGTCAGAAATTTTACATCCATATGCTCTATTCTTGGATAGACCATTTGAAATATTGTGGATTATAATATAAAAGACTCCAAATATAAAACATTTGACACTTCAAATTGTGAAGAAATCACATGAATACAGATATAGTCTATCTATATCTTCATATCTGGATACAAATTCCATGAAAAATTCTCAATTTTGAATCTTTGTAATTAACTTAAAAATCTAGATTTGATTTGTTATTTATTTTGTCGGTATGTATTGAGCTCCTCTTATGTATACATATTAGGCAAATGTTTATCTTTTAAGACTAATATTAATTTAACAACAGCATTTAGCTCTCAGGCAGTGCCTATTTATTTTAATGTTTTTATAAGAGCATTTATAATTTCAACACCTAAATTTTATAGTCTCCTATCCAAATTATCTTTATGTCCCTTTTTTTTCCCTACCTGCCTTTTGATTTTTCCTTCTTGATCTCTTTTGGCTTATAAAGTAGTGTTTGTATTATTGTAAATTTAGTCAACATAACCACATACATTCAACTAATTCATTTATAAATAAAGTTCAAGTCAACCTGTTTTACTCAATTTTCAATTTTTTCCAAATATCTTCTCAATAATAACAGTTCAGAAGTGTCAACCCACCTATCTTGTTACCAGCTGCTTATTTTGTGCTAGAAATTGCACATTCCAGTCAGAAAACAAAGTCATTGTTTTCTCTGGATATCTAAAGCCGGTGTTGATATATTTCATGATTAGATCCAGTTATTTTTAATTATTTCTAAGTTTAAATGATATTTAACAATCAGAGTCAAACTAGATGTTAAGTTGAAATTCTAAATTTCATTTAGAAATGGATTGTTTATTTTAAATTTGCTGTGGATTTCTTCCCTAAATCCCGTATGAGCTACTATTCTGAAGGGACTTTTTAACAGTATTGTAGTAAGAGAGAGATTAAAGGTACATATTACACAGGTTTCTATAATCATTCTACCACTAGGGCAATTAATACTACTTTGTTTCAATTATAGAATAAATTAAATGACACACATTTTGAATAGATAATTATTATATAGTGATGAAATCATACTTTTATATGCATGTTATCATCTTAGTTTTGTACGTAATACTGATGACCATGTGCTTATTGTTGAAAAAAATGATGCATTTATATGTTCTCCAGATGTTTCATTTACACATTTTACAAACATGCTGTCTTTGAATAAAACTAAAACTAGGTCATATAACCTTAGTAATTGTAACATATATCTTAGTTCAACATTCCATATGTTGCAATGTATATACACTAAAAGAAAAATGCCTTTTGGGGCAGGGGTGTCAATTCTTATGAATCATACCCTGTCATTAGTCTTACAGATTTCCTATCAAATTGATGTGAAATGTCTTACATTTGAGGGCATATTTTATCTAGGTTCATACATTAAAGAACTATTTACCTAACTATAATACTAAAAGGAATTGATTCATGTTGGCTAATAGAAAGACTTGACTCAGGACATCTGTGTTCTAGTCCTAGTTCTTCCTTTTATAGCTGTATGACTCTGAGCAAGTCACATAACCTCTCTTATACTGGTTTTCCTCACCTGTAACATGGGACTATTAATATTAATGTTTCGGGTGTTGTTTTGTTTTGTTTTTATGTCAACTCAAGAAGCTATTAACATTTCCTACTTCACTGAGAGTAATTTCATATCATGCCAGCCCCTGGTCTGATAAAGTTTCTAGGTTTGCCTTTCATCTTTCTTTGTTATATACACTATGTACTATGGCCTGAATCAAATTTGGCCAACTAGGCTTTTGAATACAAAACCAATTAAAATATGATGTGTAGATATAACCCCTAGTATAAAGTTTGATTTGCTCAGACTCATATTCTTTAGAGTCTGTATCACATTTTTTATAAACTTATTACCTGCTATTATACTAAGTATTCATCAGTTAAGAAAAGCATCTTTTTAGATTGAATTGGGTCTAAAGGACTGAACACGTTACATCCTTCACTATGTTTTTTATCATATATGCAAATCTTTATTTCTTTGTATTGAAAGTTATGTCTGGAATATGGTCACTCCTATTCCTTTTGGCTTCCCAAAGC